ATATTCTCATGTTCAATATTAATTAATTAATGCCATACTCTTATTATTCTCACTTTAATATCAATTTATTCATTTATAGGCTATTCTTTTTATTGACATTCTTCCATATTATTATTATCGTCTGCTACAAACTGATAAATGCATTTCAATTTCAGAACCATAGTCGGTAGTTTTTCTACGCGCTTTGTCAACCAAACCCCCCCCCCCCCTTTTTTCACATCCGGGCTTCGACCCCACTCTATTTTAACATTTTTATCAATCTACAAATTCTTTGAGACCCCTGACTATTCTATTCCCCTTCATGTCCCCTCATCCCCATGATTCACAGAAACGTCACTATGAATTGTATGAAATATCACATATCTTGTCGACAATTGCAACCCCACATTAATGATTTATATATGGATGAAGGAATCCCTTTAAGTTGAAACTGACAGTTGTAGGCCGTAATTAATTAAGCTATATACGCATGCCATCTGTATAAGGATGAGTTCCAGACTTGAATGGTATCTTGGGATTCAAAGACATCCGGCAGAGTGTCTGAAAACAATTCAAAACATTAGAAATATAGTTACTGGTTCAACAATTTTATAGAATTCTTGGCATCATTAAATCTCCACAATAGCATACATTCATAAACTTTTAAAATTAGATGGACATTATTTCCCATGTTCAAAAGATTTGATTGAAGGAAAGATTTCTAAACTATCTTCCAAAATAATCCATTTATTATCATATTGATATTTATGCTAAATTTCAGCTAAATTCGCTGCTGTTGTGCAGGTTCCTATCGAGGAAAAGACACCATTTGACACATGGAGGGTAAGTTAAAAATCCAAACAACCCCAACAACCCCAACCGGAAATAACAAATTTGTTAAATTTTGGGAACACAGATTTTCATACTGCAAAACGAAACTATTCAATTTGTCGAATTTTTATGACGTCAATCTTATGGAATCAAGAATGAAACGAAACAAAATAAAATGTATTTTTAAACCACCCCTAATGGAACGCGGAACAGACTTCTACGTCTAAATATACATATAAATAAATGATAGTAATAAAATGAAGAACTGTATGACAATGTGATTGACAGGCAATAAAATATTATTACTGTTTATTGATTATTAATCTACACACAGATATATTTAATAATATTTATACTGACCACTGGACAATAGTAAATACGCTACTGACAATATATTCACTGGCCAATAATATTGTCCTCCTTAATACTTAAAATTAGCCGATCTGATGAATGACCATTGTCCAGTGGTCAGTATAAATGGAGAGCCATGGCCAAAATAATTTCGAGAGGTGATCTTTTGACCATGGCTCTCCCCGCAGCCCTATAAAGGGACTTTTTTTAAATGAAAATTAATCCATCTAAATGCTCAAAATCACGAAATCCGTTGGCTTCTGGGGCCTATGTCAAACACAATCCCCCCAGCCTCAAGTGGCTTCGGCTCTTTGGGCCTTGCTTCGGAGAAACATCTCCCATTTTCGGCATCTCACTCGGGCATTTTCTAGATACGCCCCTGCATATTGTATTGAGACACAATCATTCAGGACAACAATGACTGGCTTAAACTTTAACTTTGATTCTGTTCCCATAAAGCAGCGTTTGTTGGGTTGCAATGATCGTATCGTATCGGTACTTTATCACGTGCATCTACACAAATCAGATTGTTCCAAATCGGGAACCTGTCAGAGGCTAAATCATGGACTCAATTTAGCAAAACAGGAACGAATCTGCTCGCTTAACTCAAACGAAACTATCCTAATGCGCCTTCAAACAACTTTTATTTTAATATATTTGTTAACTTGATAATAAATCATGAATATTTTGTGAATCAGGGGGTCTACATCTGCAATTTACCTGCAATGTCTGGTATGCTCGCTAACCCTGGGGTCAGGAATGCTATCTCGGCATAGAACGAGTTAAAACCTTGAAATGTTTCAAGCTGATTTTCTCGAAGCTATCTAAAAAAAAACTTCTGATATCGAAAAAGTGTCATGATGGTCCAACTGGACATTAAGCCGAGGCCTAAAATGTGCTACAGACTGTGCAAAGATTCATTGACAGTCCAAACCAAGTAGGTGCAGAAAAGTAAGCCTTCATTTCATTTGCAAGTGTGCCTGGTTATTGCTGATTGAAATACTTCATTACACGGTTTAAGTTTCAGGAAATTCTTCAATGCCGTGCAATGGTCATGTGAAACTAATAATAAAATCTTGTAGCTATAGGCTAATCTAACTGACCACCACTTCACAACGTTCCAGAATGATCTGCAATATTAAACCAAGACCACTCGTACAGAACAGTTAGGCTACATTCGAATCACTATAGTCACAATGTTTTGAAAAATTGTCTCTAGGCATGGTACCAATTTCGACAAGTTAAATCACTTGATGATAAGTATTGGGACGCCATTAAGTACAGAAAGTCGCATCTTCACAATGGTCAAGGTATTACGCCTTAATCTTATACTTTGACTTTATTGGCCCGCTGTCTTGTCTAACGATTGTGCGCCAGCGAATATGGAACCCTCGGTTTCATGCGCAATTATTTTTTACAGTCTTTCTGTCCATGGCTCAGATTTGCTGTATTCGCTAGCGTACAATCCAATCAAATTGCTGCATTCATAAACTTTCACTAAACGAGAAAGTGGGTCATTGCAGTCAAGATATAAGAATGATGAAGGTGTAATACCTTGACCATTGTGAGGATAAGAAAGTTGTGATTAAAGGACAAGGGAGATAAAAAAAAAGCAGCATTCAGTTTGGTTTTCTTTTTTAAGTTTGAATACAAATTGATTGATATTGATTTATAACCAACATATTAATGTACCCCCTTTTTTAATACTGCGATACAGATCTTCAGACAACTGTCAATGAACCTGGTGAGATAAGATCAAGACAGAGTCGACAGACCTAATTTCTATGATAAAACATATTGTGTCGTCGCAAAACCTTGAAATAAAGTCGCAAAATAATATGCATTGTCAATATCATCAGATATCTAGATCGTTCTACTCAACCTTCGCCAACGTTCGGTAGTTCCTGTAGGTTGATTATTGGTACTTATCTAGATATCTACTTATCATGCCATTGTCTGACAATATTGTCAGTCGAAGCGAGAATGGCCAACTTATTTACGATCGAATAGCATGCATTATTCAATAAAAAAATTCATAACGATAGCTGATTGTCATTATTTGTTTGTTTTTTTTTTTTTGTATAAAACACGACTTTATATTACAACAATCACATGTTAATGTTTTATGCAACGTTTTGATGTGTTTCTCTTGTTGTTATTTAAAAGCTTGGTTTTCTGGTATTTGTGGCAATGAATGCTAGACCTTTAACCATTCTGACTCTATAGCATTGATTGTAATTGAGTGGACAAGACCGACTGTGAACTTTCTCACAATCCTTTCAATTAATGATAAAACATGGCTGTAAGACGGGTACTCGAGACGTATCGACCAACCATCTAATACGACCAATAGATAGATTAACCATAGATTTCCCATTCTACAAATTCAACAATAACATGAGATTTAGCACGAAACTAAACGATTTTACAAATAGTTCTATTCTTTTCATTGTTTTCTCTTCCAATTTCTCCTAATGTTGATACAGTGATAAAATTAACTCCTTAACACTTCTGACTTAATCCAGACAGTCTACGAGTAGAGGAATTTCCAATCCACCTCTTCCCAGATAGAATTAACTTGAATTTCAAATGCAAAGAATCACTTCAATTACTCTTAGAGATTTATATGACTTACAAAATAAAATAACTACAGATTACCAAATAGGCCTACACCCTATCGCACTCAAAAGAAACTTTTTGGACAAGAATACCTTTCAACGGAATCCTGCAGGAACATGCAACTCTTATTAAAGCAGATCTTTCAACGGGAGATCACCAAATGCAAGTAACTCTTTCAACGGAAGATCGCCCACTGGAAGTACCTCTCTCAGGGGAAGATGGACCCTGCAAGAAACACATTCAAGGGAAAATGACCCACTGGAAGTAACTCTTTCGGTGGAAGATTATCCCTACAAGAAACTCTTTTAAGGTAAGAACCCACACTGCAAGTAACTGATTATGACCCACTGCAAAAAAAATCTCTTTCAAGGTAAGATAGCCCACTGCAAGTATTCTTTCAAGATAAGATCGTTCACCGCAAGCAACTTTCATTTGAAGATCACCCATTACAAGTAGGCCAAAATCACTCAATACAATTATTCCTTTAGGTGAAGATCACACACCGCGGGTGAGCCTTTCGGAGTAAACCAAATATCGCCCACGTCAAGTAACTATTGAAAGGAAGCTTACCCTCAAGCAGCAATTTCAAGAATGGTCTCTAAATCAAGCATGGGAGAGATCGCTAGCTAGCTAGAGCTAATGGCTCTTTCAGGGGAAAATCAAGTACTTCTATCATCGAATATTATCCATCTACAGTAAATCAGAGCTCTCTGCAGATAGGTCTTACGAGTGTGTACAGACTATCATTATTGTCTGGATATGTATAACGAAACGTTGAAATAAATACCTCGGTGTACTAAATGTTGGCTATAGAATAAGTTAATAAGAGTTTTAGTGTCTTATTTATTATTAAAACAGAGGATATAAACTGTCTATTATTGATCAGCTTAAATATATACAGCCTTTTATTTCTATGTAATTAATGAGTCTGAGTTTCTCTTTCATCTCACCGACAGTTCCAATTATCGGTTACAATTTGATTGACTGAATTACCTTCTCTAAATATTCTAGAATGTATTTCAAAGCCAGGAATAAACGTTTGCAGACTTTTAAGCCGATGCCAATTATATAGAAGGAAAGTAAAAAATTTCTTTTGTTACATATTAAAATGACAACGATATGGTAAAAGGGAGAAAACTCTAATTTTTCTTTATCTAAATAGACTACAGTTAATTACTGCGTATAGACAAGGCACGTATTTATGATAAGTAATACATCCAGACACGGAAATGTTTTTTATTTCAATATTTACAGTTGGTACAAATGACAAAACTAAAGTATACTGTTATAGAACATATTTTAAGTTTGCATAAGTTTTATTACTGCTTATCTTACCTGAAAATAAAGTGCACTGGCCAAGTCAAGGTTTTGAATCGAATAGAATTTTTATAAATTTTGCATTTTATTACACAAATATAGAATATGGTTGCCATTTATCAATACTCAATTTTAATAATTCAGTAACAATATGAAGATCTGTTCACTTGATTTTGTTCACATAGGATTGCAGTGGTTTAAATCAACAACCAAAACTTGTGAGATCAGTCAGCTGCTCATACCAATCTTTTCTGATTGTAGATCATAATTATTTGATGGGTTATTTTTGTGTATTATCACAATAAAAATTGCTAACAATGTGGAAATCACTACCTAATTCTGAAAATCATTTTTTTTTTCCCATTCATCATAATAGTTTGAACTTTTGCATAAATTCATGAAAATTGTTAACAAAGAGGGAAACACTAAGTTTATAGCAGTCCTAGGTATAGGATTTCCTTCAACGAATAAAAATTAAAACCAGACGCAATTTTCAACCTTCTTCCACATCTTTTTCACTATTAGATTCTGATTCATCATTAATAATCATTATATCAGAGTCAGTCTTCTCTGGTTCTATATTTTTACTATTATTATTCACTTTCTCTTCCTCATCATCATCTTCTACAGTTAAATCTAAATTACTACCATCTAGTGTAGAATTATTACTTTGTTCTCTATCTTTCTTCCTTTGTTGTGATGCTTCTCTTTTCCCTTTCTGTTCATTACGAAACACTGAAAGTTAAAAAGCTTTGGCTTAAAAAAATAACCAAGAACATAATAAACAACCACAAACAGATAGACTTAACAGTCAGTCCCTTGAGTTGCATCACTAACAGGAGGAAACTGACTGGAACAGTATCCAGAGGTATAACATATCTAGACCTATGCTGAGATTGATCCCTTGACCTGTGGGTTAGCAAGCACGTATCCTACTCACTGAGCCACCATGGCCCCCATAAGGTAAACATAATTCAAAGACTGATGTAAAGTATGATGACAACCTGTGATAATAGTACTAAGAGTGGAATCAAACCAATTCAAACAGAGAACTTGGGCATGATGAAAAATAACTATGTGCATGTACTAGCTTTGTAGTTTTCTTGTACCTTTTAAAGAAATGACACCTACCATCTAAACATTCTTTTAAAGGATCAACAAACTGTTCAAACTCCATATCTTCCATGGCAGATATCACATCAGTAGCATTTATAGTCTTTCTTTTACCTTTTAGAGCAAAGTTATTGGAGCTGAAAATCATAGAATTCCATCTCATTATCATCCTATTAAAGTGTTTGGACAAAATGTTCATGCAATGCATGCATGATATTCACAGGTTTTGTCATCAAGCTCAGAAAGAGGGTTCAACTATTCATTTGAACCAACTCAAATCTATTGCATCTTTCAACCAGGCACTATAGTCTATAACCCCTCTTGTTAATAGTGTCTGCTACATTAAAATACTGCAAAAGTGATGATAATGTTACAGAGAGAAACAGTAAGAGCTAATTACCATGAGGTAGCATATAAAACAAACACACTGGCAGCTTTAGAAATAGCTAATCTGGCTTCTTTAGATACATTTATACCCTCAGGAATCTACAAAATAAAATCAAAAACTAGACAATAAAATAACTTAAATACATATGATAACTCTATGAAATCAAATTATAAATATTTTCATTATATTACTATACATTAGGATTTACAAACTTTTTATTGAGATATCATGAAAAAGTATTATACAGTATTAGCATCTTGATACCACTCAATACATTAAACTAATGAATCTAATGGCTTACAGCTTCTTTGATAATTCTGGTGACCACTGCATTGGGTAAGTTTAAATCTTCTGGTCTCTCAGCCATTTTGACTGTTCATCAATTCAATTAATCTATTTTTCTGGAATTCATAAAAACATTGGAGAATCAAATGTAAACCTGAGCAAAATGTTTGATATAAATGATGCTGATAGTGTTAATTAATATCATTTCATTTGGCCACTGAGTGGTAAGGAACGAAAACAGGGCTAAGGTCTGCTAGGGTAGGCCTCCTTGGACCAAGACACACAGCTTACGTGCCCAGATTACATACTTGGAACAAGGTAAGGCTAGTGATATAGCCTATAGCCAGTATAGGTCTATGTTAATTTTACTGAAGAAGGATGGGTGTCAAGGAAATATGCTTAGAGTTAGAAAGGCATACTCCTTGAATCAATTGCACGAAGGTAATATTGACCTACGAATGAATTAACACACCTTATTAATCAGACGTTATCATTTATGACAAATTAATAGATAACACATGGGAAAATGTTAGAATATCAAAATTTAGTAATTTTCTTTTGTTTTCACCGGAAACACTCCTTCCCGCGTTGTTTTTAAAATGCGTACATAATACGGAATGAGATTTTAACATGAAACGATCTAATTCTCAACCATCAAAGTACAAGGGAATAGAACTCACTCGCTTTTGATTGTGATTTTTTTAATGTTATTCACTGACAAACACTTTTATTTTCCTTTATTACGCTTTACTTAGTGAGAAATATTGAGAAAATAATTAGGTCAAGAATAAACCGACACGAATTTATATAGATTTTCACGCATGCGCATCTATAACAATAGAAGCCATTACTGAAAATCGTTTTGTGAGAAAACTAAAAATGTAACTATGCCAAAACTATACCAAGATCCATTTTTGTATATTTCACACAATAAAAATATTTTTGCTTATGTCGAGAATATATGACTGGGGTTTGGTTGATTTAGTTTTAAGTCTAATCTTTGTGTAGTGACAATGTTTATTCCTTTGCAAAATTATTTACTCTACTGAACTGGTAACTGTTTTGAAACAAATTGTATATCTTCGCTACCCCCATTCACACAGAATACTCATAGTTATATAACCAAATTTCAACATTTGAAAACTATAAAGATTATTTTAAGGCTCTTGTTCAAAAAAAAAGTTACCAGTAAAGTCTTGATATTTCTAAGAAAATGCAAAGACGGTAGTTATGTATCCTTTTATTAGGTGTTATTAAGTTTTAAGTTACACATATTTTACTAAAATATTTTCGTCTTTTCAGAAAAAATAAAGAATGAGTAGTTCAGAAGAAGTATCATGGATTTCCTGGTTTTGTGGGTTACGAGGAAATGAATTTTTTTGCGAGGTTAGTGGAAGTTGTTCTATTAGTAAGGTGTACTGGTACACAAGTAGCTTTCATTTTTGTCTTGAAATGATAGTTGAAAAGACACTTGTAGCTGTGTAATTACCAGCAGTTGAACCCTACTTCCAATATCATGATGTCAATGTTTATAACTGAGATGAGGACCATAAAAATGGAAGTCTAAGCTTCCAGTGTTAAGGTTTTTGTTTAAGCGAAGAGTATCCACACTAGGTATTATGGTGTAATGAGGATAGTCTCAATGAAAGCATGGGCTGAGGTCACAGAGCAATAGATAAATTTATTTAATATGTGAAATGCAGATGTTAAATGTTGGTAGTTTCAGTATTAGGCCATTTAGTATTAAAAATCTTGAATTATTATCAATGTAAATGTGTTACAGGTGGATGAAGATTATATTCAAGATAAATTCAATTTAACTGGTTTAATAGAACAAGTACCTCATTACAGACAAGCTTTAGATATGATACTAGATTTAGAACCAGGTAAAGATACCTTCTACAAGAAACTTTTTCTTTTTTTGTATATGTTGAGTCCATGTTTGATAAAATGAAAAATCACTTTAATTAAAAAATGTTCATATTTTTGGGTATTTTTTAAAAACTTATTGATATTATTTAGATGAAGATCTAGAAGATAACCCTAATCAGTCAGATTTAATAGAGCAGGCAGCAGAAATGTTATATGGTTTAATACATGCCAGATATATCATGACAAATAGAGGCATTGCACAAATGGTGAGTCTTGTGTATGGATTGCGTACGGTAGATCACATTTAGTATCATTTCCCAAGGTCCCATGTGCAACAGACTGTGTATCTTAAAGATCCTTGACAGCTGGAAAATAAAAAAAGAGTAAGGTCACTGTCCGGGAAAAAACATCTCGGGTGCAATTTCGTCAATATTTGACCCTTATTTCCTGTGTAGGTATATAGCAATGAATTATTACTTGATTGAAGACATGATAATATTGTAAGAAAGTCATTAAAACTATTAGTGAATTACAACTTGATGTTTTTCTAGATTGAAAAGTGGCAACAAGGAGATTTTGGTTACTGCCCCAGAGTTTATTGTGAAAATCAAGCTATGTTACCTATAGGTATGTCAATTGGATAGTGTTTAGTTTTTAAACAAAAGTTTCTTTTTGACTTTGTTAATGCTTTCAGAAATTCAAGTTTTTTTGTATGATACAGAATCTATGTTTTACAAATATGTGTACCTTGTGTGTTATGAAAAGATGTTTATATAGAAATGTGGATGTATATTACTGTCTCTCCTCCACCCTGCCTGTCTGTTGGTCCTTCCATCTGTCTGTCTGTTCATCCATTAAAAATTGGCTTATTTAGATTATTGAAAAAATTTGTGTTTTAAGATGATATTCACAGATAAAATTTTTAATTTGGTACAATTTCACGAATATTTCCTTCGGTATATAAACAAATATGTCAAAAGCGGATGTATTTTACTTTGGAGAATATATATAATACAGATATAGCACCAAGCACTGGATACATTAGTTATAGTTTGTAACAGAGAGATATAATTGTTATTTTCAGGATTATCTGATGTACCAGGAGAAGCTATGGTCAAGTTATATTGTCCTAAATGTCAAGATGTTTATACTCCTAAATCCTCACGCCATCATCATACAGATGGGGCTTATTTTGGTACAGGCTTTCCTCACATGTTATTTATGGTTCACCCTGAATACAGACCTAAACGACCTGCCAATCAGTTTGTTCCAAGGTATGGTAACTTTATATTGTATTCAATGAAACTGTAATATACAGACAGCTTTATGGAACAATAATCACTGGTTGCTTTATAAAGCTATGTCTATATATTATCATACTAATAATTGCTAGAGAAGCTGCACACATTACCACATGATCAAACTACTGTCTGTGCAGTTTATCAGCATAATCAGTAAGCTGTATAATCTTATGAGAAATTCACTTAATTTTAGACAACTATAACTTTAGCTGTTATATTAACACAAGCCTAACAAATTATGAAGATCAGAGTTGTCTGGGTAACTTACAGAATTTTCATGGCAATGTAAATGATGGACTGAGACAATACTGAAGCCAGGTGAGGCACAGCTCGAGCATATATCATTTGATCATTCCCTTTTGCTTTTCAGACTCTATGGCTTCAAGATACATCCTCTAGCTTATCAGTTACAGTATCAAGCTGCCGCCAACTTTAAATTTCCAATGAGAAGTACCAGCCATACCAATAGTAAACGATGAACGCTAAAATTCCTTGATGATGAGTCTCAGTAACTGCTATTAAAATCTTCAATTACATATTATAACTTATGATTTGCATCCTAGCAGTATTGTTTACTTCTTGTGTTATTTTCTTTTGTTAATTTTGGTTTTTTTTTCTGCTGTGTGATGCTCATTCAAATAACATCTTGTGTAGCAATGACAAATGTAATTTCATAAGTTTATTGTATATTGTGCTAAGTTTGACAATAGTTTTGTTTAAGGTTTATAGAGAAATTAATTCATTAGTTAAAAGTGATTTTTGATTGGTATATGGACAGGTTAAATAAATAGAATTTGTTTAAAATACATATACAGTCGTTATTGACCCTGTAAAATGGTCATTGAAATATAACTCACAGTTCACTCTACAGTGTAAGTGTTCCCGATGTTAAAAATATCTTAACCTCCTATATTTCCCTGTGAATATTTGCTGACAAGAACCTTTCTGCTAGAATTAAACTCTTTAAGTTCAAAAGTGTAAACTGAACCTTTGTTTTTTTTTGCAAAATGCATTTTTTTCTATTTTTGTGTCCAAAGAGTTCACTAAAATCTTTCTTTCATAGGTTTCATACAGGTGTTTATGGAAAGAATGGGGATTATTGATTTGTAATGTAAATTTAAGTTGTAACCCAAAAATAAATTATATTGTTTTGTCAGGAAGTGTTTGTTTTTACCAAGTTCCACAAATAATAGTGTTTTTTTGAACACTGATCAAGTGTCAGTCATCTTGAAATGATATAAAGACCCTTACTTTGTGGACAGGGACAAGAATTGATTAAGACCTGTACAAAGATTTTACATTGAATAGCCCAACAATGGATGCTGATTCAGATCAAACTGAGTCATCAGATCTTGAAATTTGAAAATTTTTTGTGAGAGTTCTCAACATCGTGCTTTCAAATGTTCCATTCAACGTTGCATCTCAATAAATTGTTGTAATACATAATGGGGATGTAGTCAGTCGAGAATTGGAAAATAAAAACAATCAGTTATAAATCTTGATAGAAGTATATTATAAAAATACTTCTTAGATATTATTCACATAATTTAACAAGACAATAAACAATATTAAAATCACATATCACAGAATAATAAGACATAAATAATGCTGGCAAATAGATTCACATGATTGTTAATACTGGGGATTCATTTCTAATTGTAAGACACGAGTTGGAGGAATTTCTAGTTCAGTATTAACTTTAGAGTTCACATATTGATGTAACAACATTCTTAATTCAGCATTCTGTTGTCGTAATGCATCTGTTTCTAATATTAAATTACTTCTACTCTGTAAGGTTTCACTGAAAAGAGAAAATATATCACATGGTGAAAAGTCTTGAGGTAATAAGTACATTCGTTACACAGACTGATAATATATTAATATCATTCAATAGGTCCCAAAGTGGCATGACCCTATCTATCATTAAGCTAAGTCATTTAAAAATTAAACGGAAAAAAGTCTGTTCTATTTGAAGAAAAGATTATTGTCCTAAAATCCATCCAATTTAAATCCAAATATATCGAGATGGCATGTAGGATAAATTTGTGAAATAAGCCTCCATTTACATATAACATGATCAAATCTGGCGCTAATAGAATATAAACAATTTTTTTTTTACTTACTTGTATTTATCTAAACCTTCAATAAGACCATCCCAGACTCGTTCTTTTACTCCATTTAATGTACCAGTGTATTTAGCCCAATATTCAGAGTCTTCTGATGGATCTCTATATTCTAATTCTGCTATACGGAACTGAGACTTGTGACCTTTTTCTTTAGTTGGTTTACGATGATCATCTACAAATGCTCTCAATGCTTTCATTACTTCATTAGGATGGATGAGTTGAATAGATTCTTTAGATGCCTGTTCTCTTTTATCTTCTTCTTGTGATGTTAAATGTTCAATTTCTGCATCCACATCCTCTTTACCTTGTGTTGATCCTTCCTCCAATTCTTTTTCTGTTCCTTCATCTTTTATATTCTCTTCATCTTTCTCCAATCGCTCTACCAGATGCATGAAATAAGTTGTCAATTTATGGATATCTTCCTCTGATTCTACACCCAGAGCTGTAAATATGGCATCTAATTTCATCAAGGACTGTTCATCCTGTTCTAATGGTGCCAATAATTTCTGTAACTTTTTCTCAACTAAAAATCCAGATTCATCACAAAGTAATTCTAACACTGATTTGACTGTATGGGCTGAGATTTTGGAGAAAATGTTAGCTTTTGGTTTCTCTTCATTTTCATCATCTGGTGCTTCTTCAACAGCTTGACTACCAGTTTGTGACATTATTTCATGTAATACCTGGGTAGCAGAAACACCACTCTTATGTTCTTCTGTTAACTGAAGAGGACCAACATTTTCTGTGAATGATATATCAGGAGTCTCCCAATTCAGACCTAACTGTTGTTGATGTATAACTTCATCACATTGTAAAACAGAATTTAACATTTCTTTACATTCTTCTTCATTCATACACCAAACATCAGCAAATTTCTTAGCATCAGTTGCCATGAAATGTTTAGATTTTTTCTGTAAATCACGGAACTGTTCAGCAATTCTTTTATAGTCTTCAGTAAGCTGTGTATTTTCATCACGATATTGTTTCTCTTGTTTTGTTAACTTGATTCTTAAACTATTTAAAACATCCTGCATTCTGGTTATTTTTCTTTTCTGCTGGGCTTTAGTGATAGCATTTTCTTCGTCTCGTTTCTTTAAAACTTGGAAATTATATTCTAGTTTTTCTTGATTGAGTTGATATGTAGCTCTCATCTGTTGTAACTGTTGTTCTAATATTTGAACATCAGTTTCCAGTCTAATCTTCACCATGTTATATTCTTCAGCATCTTGAACTCTTAAATGTTGTAACATTTGTTCATATTCTTCTACACGCTTCTCTCGATTCTTCATGTATTCTATTTCCTTATCACGTCGATAAGTCATTCTCTCTTCCCACTTCTTTTTTTGTTGTTCTAATAGCTCATTTCTTTCAGCAACAAAAGCTCGTTCATCTTGTTCCAACTCCTCTCTTTGAGCCTTTTTCAGATTTTTAATTTGTTCATTCATTCTTTCTATCATCAAATCAACATCCTCAGCCATTTTCTTCAAATCTTTAACATATAAATCATCTTTGTTTTTCAATTCTAGTTGGAAATCATTGATAAGTTTATTTTTCTCATCAATCATAGCATCACAAGACGTTTTCTGCTGCATCAACATTTCATGTAATGATTGTGGCACTTCTTTCTGAAGAGCAGACTCCCATTTCTTTGTTATTTCCTCAAACCTCTCTGCACCAGATTTAGCCTCTTGTTCTAACCTTTCTCGCCTCAATCGTTTGGCTTCATCTTCCTCCCCTCTGCGATTTGATTCCCTGGAATCTCCTGCAACTCTGATGTTGGTAACCAGTTCAAAACCATCTTTGCGTAACTTTGTTAATCTAAGACGACTTTCTTCTATTTGTTTACGACTTTTACTGAGCTCCTCTTTGATTTCTTTATTGTCCCCTGGATCATTTGGGTCTCTCTTTGCTGCTTCAATTCTTCTCTGAATTCGTAATCGTCTTGCTGCTATTCTCTCTTCTTTGTCATTAGAATCGACTGAAGGGCCTACCTCTTCTTCTTCTCCGCTCGAACTCATGTTTATTTCGTCTTTATTCGTAAATTTAGAAGAGGTCTGAAGGAAACCTGTGGTTTACTAGGCGAAAAATCAACCAGAATTGTTTACAAATCGATTATAGTTTTTCAGTTGCTACGCGATGTCGTCCATTTTGTCACATGACCAGAAGTCTAGTACCGGACACAGGGGTACGATAAAAACGGTAATAAACTTTAGAAGTTGCACGATTTTGTTGCCGTTCGTCACAAATACATGATTATTAAGATAGTGCTAGCTTCCATCATGTTCAGTGGGTTACATTCAGGTTACTCTTTCTTTCAGAGACAAAATAGACCAGCGGTAAAGGCTGACTAGGCCCTGTGTTTCAGTATCGTACAGAAATAATTCTTGTTAAACGGTAAACGAATAAATTCGTTATAGCATTTACCGGGCTGAACTTAGAGTTCACATTCAACTGGCATACAGATTCTTTTCGAATCGTCTCAGCATACACATTCGCGGCAAATCGACAAGATATGAAATCTGAATCTGAATTATTTATAACTTAAATATTGTTAAAATAACTTAAAATTTTTTATGACAAATACACATAAGAATTCTTTCAATTTCGCAAACACGTATATGTCTAACTGTCTTAGTCTTTGTACTGTGGCCCATTTAAAATATAATGACAGCAAAGTAAAAGGCTTAGCCGTCATAGGAACTTTTTGAAATTCATACCATACTATCTCACACTAGTCCTCATTCGAAATATCAAATCACCAAATTGCTGTCTCCCTTACTTTTTGTACGGAGACCCATTGAAGACATACATTAATCGACATATATATGGCCTATATGAGTATATTACTCAGAGTTTACGGACAATTTGCGAGGCTTAGCCGTCAAAGAAACTTTTTAAAATTCATACCATACTATCTCACACTAGTCCTCATTCGAAATATCAAATCACTAAGGTGCCGTCTCCCTTACTTTTTGTACGGAGGCCCATTAAAGACATGCACTAATCGACATATGTATAACCTATATCAGAATATTACTCAGAGTTTACGGACAATTTGCGAGTCTCAGCCGTCATAGAAACTTTTTGAAATTCATACCATACTATCTCACACTAGTGCTCATTCGAAATATCAAATCACCAAGTTGCTGTCTCCCTTGCTTTTTGTACGGAGGCCCAATAAAGACATGCATGGCCTATGTAAAATAATACTCAGAGTTTATGGGAAATTTGCGAGTCTTAGCCTTAATAGGAACTTATTTCAATTCATATCATACTATCTCACACTAATTAAAGACATACACAAATCGATTTATATGTGGCCTATATGAGTATATTACTCAGAGTTTACGGACAATTTGCGAGGCTTAGAGATCAACAAAACTTTTTAAAATTCATACGATACTATCTCACACTAGTCCTCATTCTAAATATCAAATCACAAAGTTGCTGTCTCCCTTACTTTTTGTACGGAGGACCATTAAAGACATACACCATACGACATATAAATAACCTATATCAGAATATTATTCAGAGTTTACGGGAAATTTGCGAGGCTTAGCAATGTTCGAATTGGGTCAGAAAGACATAAAACGAGACTCAATTCTGTCAAAGGCCGTGCACAAATTTTGGAATGACGACGAATGAATAATTCGAAACAATTTTGTATTTCGTGTAGGGTTATTTTACCAATTTTGACAATCACATGATATGATTTAATTATTAAGTAGTTTATTATCACCCTCAACAGGGGGAAAATTGATTGACAGGGGGAAATCTATACGAAAACGGGCGTAACCCAGAATTTGAAAAAGGGGCACAGAGCCCTCAATTGAAGTCTGGGCCTAAAATGTCGGTCTTTTGCTTTGAAAAGATAATACAGTAATACTCAAATCATTATTTTTAACATTGTTCCAATTTCGCTAACGTAGCAACCAGTGTCTACCACAGAGACTTTCCTTAGTATTTAGTTAAGCCAACTGACTATGGCTGTATGAAAACCTAACGGCCTAACACTGAGCCTGTAGTAAGAAGCCTCTTGTTGAATGGCAAGCTACACAATTACCAAAGCCGTGGAGTAGGGGTGGGGGAATGGGGAAGGAATCCTGATGATGTTATTGTAACTTAAAATTTGACGTCACCCTTTTCTCGATGTACCATTATCCAACATTTAGTTCACTAACATAACTTTACACTAATAAACATAAATATTATTAATGTGTTCTAAAATATTTGAGTCATTCTGCCCCTTATTCGTACCACTCGTCTCGATCGTAGAATAAAAATTTCGTGCAGACAACCCCCCCCCCTTTCCAACCCCCCAAATAGGCCTTGGGCCCGTACGCCTATGTTGAAATTGGTATATAGCTCTTTCAGGTTTCAAACGATTTTCGCAATTGTCGTACGACTTTGTATGTAGGCAGGCCTAAATGATCTAATAATGAGGATCTCGTTTCACCAACCGTATACCGAATATGGCCATATTTGATCCACTATCTTTAAATTTACTGTGGTTTAATCTGTTCTATTGCAATCATATTTGTATCTTTTGCACTATTTTCGTCCCAGAATTTATTGTCACATTTATGTAGTCACAAAGTCAAAGCTTTTCAGTAAATTTTCTAATTATCTTCTTTGAGGGTAGCCTGATTTAGGCCTAAAACTTGAATAATGGTGAATTATAGTGTAACAGTAACGCTATATCCCTTTAAATTTCGGTCGGGGGTAATATTTGGCGCGAATCTAGCAATCATGTTATTTGTTCTGTCAAGAATTAAAGGTCCCCTTCCGTGTAATATACTTCACAAACATGTGAATTTGGCAATTTTTTCCCTCGGTAACTTAACGAAATATACTTTATTCGTTGATCCAAAGATTTTTGAACAGGTTTTAGACTTTACAAAGGATTTTTAAGTCCAGTACCTCTATTCAAAATTCTTTCAACCAACCACTCTGAAATATTGGTGGATCTTTTCCTTTAATAATTTATCAACATTCACCAAATTGACGAGAAGGTGACAGTTTAAAACCATCAGAAACTCAAAACAATTTTTTGGCGGGAAGAATTGACATGTAGAGCACGTGGATGCAGAATATTGGCTGCTATTGGCTGAAATTCAAATTGTCAGTCAAAAAGTGGGAGGAGTTTAACCTAAAATCATCGTTTGCATATCCAAGGGTGCGAATTTCTGAGCGGGATTTCGGTCTCATTAGTAGTGACTTATGACTTATGATATATTCTGTATTGGATTCTGGATGGTTTTGAATTATTTCGATATATTCAGTGCTAAATCTTTGACTAATATCTGTGGATTGGGATTTATTTGATACTATCTGTATTATTCTGGATGGTTTTAGATTATTTTGTGATTTTTCTATAAAATAGTGGATTCAACGATGACACTTTTGGAAGGAGTGGGAAATATTGGACACTTACTCACAAGAAGGTAAGCCATTTTCTCCATTCAAATTTTGATTGGAAACTTGTAAGGACTATAAACTGGTTTTCTAGAAATAGGGACACCGATAGCATCGATTTGTACCATTCCAATTTTCAGTCAAACCTATGTTTTATATTTTCGGATTTGACTTAAACTAGACTTTTTTTGACGTCACTATTGCCGAATCTGCTAATAATATTTTTGTGAAGTTGACGTTACCAAACGCACAGTTTTACTTCAGTGGAATTGCACAAAAAAAAAGTTAATCATGTTTTGTTAAAGAGATTGTAAAAAATCTCTTATGTGTATAAGGGAGGGACACTGATATTGCATCAATTTGCAATATTCTGATTTTCATTCAGACGTATATCATATATGACTCCTGCAATTCCACTAAAACTCTGTTTTTGATGACGTCACCATAGCGAAGACCCCTATTTATATATTATCAGTATTATGTTACGTAAGTCCCTTTGATTGGAATGGTGCAAATCGATGCTATTAATGTGCCCGATACACATAAAAATCACTTAACACCTCTTCAAATTATTTATGAAAAATGATAATCGTGAATGCCATGCAGTGTTTAAGGGAGGGAAATTTGTCAGGTCGGGGCTTAAAAGTGTACTCGGGTTTAAATATTATCGGTTAGTTTAGACTTTTCTCAATCTAGATTCTTACGCGAGTGACCTTGAAAATTTAGTCTCGATGTCACGAGAATAAATATGACAAAT